GTTGCCAGATCCATCTTTGCGTATGGCAGCACACCACCGACAGCACCCTCAATATCGTCGTGGTCGTTGTCAACACCAACAGCAGCCTCAATTCTGTGAAAGAGATATCGATAGAAATACGATTTATAGATACTTATCTACTTTTTTTTTGATCTAAATTTGAATTTGAATTTGAATTTTTTTTTTGTCGGTGAAACCAAAAATGAAAACCAACTTACTCTTTATGCAATGAACCGTCGTTTGGTTTTGGAAGAACGGCTGCGTTCACCACTGGTGCCGGCACCTGTCCATATGTCTTTATTAATTTCCTGTGAAAGAGATGTTAATTGAGATACGGTATATAGATAAGTACTATTGTTTTGATGTAAATTTGAAATTGAAATTTTATACCGATGGAATAATTAAGAAAAAAACCAAACTCACTCGTCATACAATGAAGCATCCATTTGTTCGGGAGCGGCTTTCAAAGCGTCAAGCGCTTGTTGTTTTGTTTTGTATGTGACAAAACCAGTATTGATTGTTCTGGACCGTAAACTGGCCGTGATGACGCCTTTTTCATTCAGGCCATCGAGCATACCATTGAAGTGGTGGTCGTTGTACATTTCTCCACAATGACTAAATGGCAAATTTCGTAGCACTAGCGTTCGGTCGCGATGTGGTTCTTCGACCTTGAATCGGACGCGCCCATCCTATATGAAATGGAAACGTGTTTGAAAATATCAAAAAGTCGTGTGCAAACAAAACACTGAATTCAATCCATTCGAATATATGAATACATGTTCTCACACAGACACAAACTCACTCACACACAACACCACAATAAATGCACTTGAAGAGTGTTTAAAAAACAATTTCAATTTGGATCTACATACCAACCGGTCTATATTTGTATGAGATTGGAGACTTTTTTTTGCGAATCTCGCTAATGAGCGCCATCTGATTTTAGTGTGAATTAGATGCAAAAATCAAATTTATTTCAATAATTTGGAATGTATTTGAATGTTATAGTTTCAACACAAAAATTGTATTAAAAATCATTCAAGTAAATCAAATTGAAATTAAATCAATTAAAAATCATTGTACACACACATAAAGCATATAAAATAATACAACTAAATTATAAATACTCACACCATTCTATGGGAACCTAACAAAATCGTATTATTTCAAATTAGAATTATTTTTATTTCATATAAATGATTCTATTTATTTTTTCAAATTCATTCTATTAGAATTATAAATAAATAAATTTCTATTTATTACAGAAAATAATGATTCATTATTAATGAAACAGAAAAAATTCTCCACAATGTGAAAATACGAAGTTACGTATATATTATGACAGCTGTGGTTACGTATACGTCGACATTAATAATCTGTCAAAACCGTAAACACACTATTTTCATAACGCAATTTTGCGATAGTTCCTATTAGTTGAAAAAAATTAAATTTTTGTGTGCAAACTGTAAGTTATTTTGTGATTTTATTGTGTTTAGATTGAATACGATTTCATAAATTTTTGAAAAGTGATTTTACAGTAACAAGAAATGTAAAGCAGAGAGAAAAAAACCAATAAATGAGTTTAGAACGTTTAGAATCATATGCACATTTTCGTGATATTCTAACCTCAATCGCTCTTTACTCTCAGTTTTACATTCTTTATATCAACAATTATTTTATAATTTAAACAGGAAACGCAAAATGGTTTAGTGCGATGTATGCCAGCAGAATATTTCGGGAAACATTTACAAGCACAAAAGAGTTGAGCACAGTTGGGATCGAGGTGGTATTAAATTGATTAAACAGGAAGATAAAACTCTGATCGAAGCTATACAAAACGAAAAAACATTCGTTGGACCTTCGCTGTTATATTTGAAACGTCTCGCAAATTATGCGGTAACACAAAATTTTCAAGCCACATTTTTTGGAGTCGACTCACCAAAACCAGAACTTGTCATTACAACGGGTACAATTGCAGAGAATGAAAGAAATTTGGCTGAAATTGTGGATCAACTCTATGGCCAAATCGGTCAATGAACTACGATCGCTATTCAATATTTAGTTTATGAATATGTTCATTTTTTCACGCAAAATGCGACCAATTACATTTATAATTAAATACCATGAATAAATATTAATTTTTTATGTAAAAAATGGAAACAAATCTCTTTTCATTTGTTCGCTTTCAAGCGGGTTGAAATATTCATTGAATTCACAATTTTTTATATTTTTACAAGCATGGATTGTGAAGAACGCCAAATATATGAGAACCATAAATAAATCCAAATGAATAAATTGAAATTCAGCAGTGTTTTAGTAGTATAGTGTTTTTATTTTTGTTTGATATCAATATGTAGCTAAGAGACATTTTCCAATCATTTATATTTATTTAATTAAACATAAAAGTAAGTAATTTACGCATATTTTGCGAGAGAACTAATGCTCAGGTGTATCAACATCAGACATCTCCGGAATTGTATTAAAAACAGAGATTGAACGACGGCGACCCGCAATACGAAATGGAACATTTCTTGTTCGTAAAAATGGATCGAATTCTAATGACCG